GAGGATGCAGCGAGTTTCACTCGTGTTCGCACTTTATATGCCGGTTCACGCGTGCAAACAATCAGCATACAGCTCTCTATACAGCGCTCGCTGCACGTCGTCGACGTGGAAAGACGTTGCGGGCGAAGTGAGAATGTAAATCAGATGACGCGCGGAGTTACATGACTCAAGCAGTATGAGAGAACACCGTCTTTAACACACCGTAACGCAGACAGACGTTTCGCCGACAGCGCAGTTCAAAATTTCTTTCCGTTTATATCTTGCAATAAAACCTCGCGATATTTCTTAGATATTCATTCTTCGTTTCTTGGATATTTTCAAATCGCAAATGTGTGCACGCGCTCACATTCGCGATTTGAGAAAGATTTCGCATGATAGTATGTCCTACAACAATATTATTCATCGATAATGTACGGGGGAGAAAGGTGGAAGGTGAATCCGTTTGATTGATATAAAATTTGCATTGAAATACATACGTTGGTGTCTCGCCACGACGTTATTGTAGGGCGAAAATAGTGCGTCGGATGATTCGTTCGGTTGTGGACCCGCGATCGAATCTCGCGAACGTCACAGCGATCGGAAAACGCGATTGAAAATATTTACGAGGATATGGGTGTCAGGGCGCATCATCGTCCGTTTCCCGCGGCATTCGAGACAGGTATATCCGTTCCGAAAGCCTTTTGCGTCTGACCGGGTTCGATTGATCGTTCTACCTCCGGCTGGTATATATTCGAACACACAATGCGGCTCGACTTTAATATATCGCCGATATTACCGGCTTGCGGAAACGCGCTGAGAAGGAGTAACATGGAAGCGGGATTCAGGGAACGAACACGCGGAAAAAGAGAGGAAAAAAGGAAAAAGAAAACAAAAAAAAAAGACAGGAAGTACGTGAAAGAGCCTGTGGAAGTTCACACAGGTTTTGAGAGGAAACGGTATTTCATAAAATCAACAGATAAAGTGACGATATAATAATATCAATGAACGACTGGCTTTTTGAAGCCTCCCCCCCCCCCAATTTCACTAACTGGTTCACTCCGTGTTAAATAACATCGGTTATTTGCAGAGCTGTTTGCAGGTTTTTGCAGGGTAGTGCTGAATTAAAAAGATAAAAGTCTAAGTTAAAAAGTTTAAGTTAAAAAGTTAAAAAGTTAATTAATTTTAACTTAACTTAATTACATTTTAGATTCTTAACTTTTTAACTTAATTTAGTTACATTTTATCGGTAACTATTAACTTTTAATTTGATTTTTTTTAAGTTAATCCTCAGACACGATGCGAGAAGATAATGAGTATATAATTTAGTAATTTTATATTGTATAATCGTTACTTGTGAACAAAAATAACCAGATACTTTAATAAATATGCTGAGAAAGGAAAAATACGAAAAATTATGTAAAATGGTCAAACTTTTTTTTCTTTTTTTTTGGTTGTTCGTTCGGACCAAATTTAACTTTTAATTTTTCAATTACTTTTTTTTTTAATTAATTTTAACTTAACTTTTAATTCAATTAATTTCATTATGGATTAACTTGTATTTTAATTAATTTAAATTTTCAAAGCTGTTAACTTTAACTTAACTTAGTTAAAAAAAAAAATAGTTAATTTATCCAATTCTGGTTATTTGCATTTCAGTTGCTCATATCATTCGTATACTCATTACGTAATATGTGACATGCGAAAAATCGTTTTCAATCGCTGAAAAGGCGAGGAGAGCGTACTACAAAATGTAAATAACCAATTAAACGGTGGAGCTGCATTTAAATGAAGTCAGGGCACGCAAAGCTTGGTCGAGGGACAAGCTTAAGGATTACTCGTCTTTAAATTATTTTCCGTTCCGATTCCTCGTCTCTCCCGGTAATCGCAAGCCAGTTGCAGCGTGCATGAATAAATAAGATACTCAATGCAGCTTTAGTGAGGAGAGAAAACTGCACCTTCAAAGAAAAGTTATCTCATTGGTCGCCGTGGACGATGGAGATAACATACGGATCGCTGCACGTGTTGGAGCGAGATAAATCATTTATGAATTTTTTTCAACTCTTATTTACTTTTAAGAAAAAAAGAACAAAAAAGAACCCGATTATCTAACAATATTTTTTTTAATCGGTCATTCACCGGTCGCCCGTCCTTATTGCCGAGTTCGTGGCTTGATTAATTCCCCGGTGCGGAAAACCATTTTCCCATTCATTCCCGAAATGTCGTCCATCCCTTTTTTTTTCGTGTCTGTGCTGTGCGTCTACTCAGGCGCAAAGAACCGCCGCGACGCGGGGTTGATTTCAATTAAGCTCGCTAACTCCACCGAGACGCCCTTTTTTTCCCCCAGCCGCCGTGTCGCCAATGCTTGCATTCAGCGCGCTGAAAGAAGTCTACTTGCGGCGACGTCGGCGCAAAAATTTTACCCCGCTTATTTTGCCCGCTGACGGAAACACAGGACGCGGTGTCAGGCAACGAGATGGTGAAACATAACCGAAAACATTCGTAACATCACACTCTCCATCGGGAGACATTAATATATGAGACCAACAAAAACAATTTTAAATTTAAAATCATCTTGTCTTTGAATATGCAGCGGACATGTGTATCTTATAGATTTTATAAGATACATTGTTAGTAGATGCATAAGTTTCCGGTTGACAATCCAGCTGTAACATTGTCAACAAGCGGATACCAATCTTCAACGGAAACTACACGAGCCAGCGATATATACGAACGTAGACATATACAAACGTATGTATCCATCTTGAAACGTAAAAACGGGGAAAAGATGTCCCCAGGCAGAAGGAAGGTTTCATGTCGTTTCAACGATGCCAATATTATCCTCGAGTCTCTTCAAGAACGAGTCTTTCGCGACATACGCGCTTCGTTCTGCTGGAAAAATATTTATTCGACCACGATGGAAAGAGGAGAAGTCTCCCTATACTTATGACAGACGCGCAGTGCACAATCTGTGTTCCGCGATCGTGTGTGCGCGCATCGGTGGCCCCTTTTCGGTTTCGCCGGCAACGAAAAGTCTCAATCCGCTTGGAACAACGAGCGAACATGGGCTCGGGAGTCCGAGAGTGACGGTAGGAATGAAGTAAAATGTGGTACGTACGTTTCAACATAAACATCTGGATTTCGTGGAGCGCTTTTTGTGAGAAAATTGTGCGACTGGTACCTTGGAAAAGAATGTATTCGCGCGAGGACATGTGAGTGTGTACATGTGAGTGTGTCATGTGAGTCTCGTCTCGCTTGTACAATGTTGTATACTATACATATTGCTTATTTGCTACAATAACGACACAATTCAAAAAACAAAGAAAATAAGTTTTGAGTTATTAAAATTTTGTCATTTTAATTTTAAATTTAGTTGTAATAACTAATTGCGGAGAGAATTTTTCTTAGAATTTACCTTGAAAATATGACAGTCGTGGGACAACATTGTATTTCGAAGAATTTTAATGTAAATCTCTCTCATTCATTAATAAAATTACAATAAAGTATAAAATAAGTTCGATCAATTTTACTGAAGTGCGTGGTAAAAATCTTTAAAACATTGTATTGTACCACAAAACTACCATATTTTCAGGGTAAATTTTAAAAGAAAATTCTCTCTGTGTAGAGAAATAAAATATGTTCTTTTAAAATATATTTTTCTTTTTTTTTCTTTATGTTTTCATTCTTGTTTGCAATTAAAAAAATTATTTTTTGTGTCAATTTTTGTGTTATGTCGTTGTTGAAGCAAATGAGCGATACTCGTATAGCAAACGCATATAAACGCGCGTAAGTTGAATGCATCGTACACACGTGCGAGCGCATAATATAATTCCATAGGCGTCGAGATTGCGTTCAAATGTTTTGAAAGTATAATATATCAAAAAAATATTTTGCTGCTTCAGCTAGAATTATAGCTATTTTTTATAGCTGTAATTGATAGAAAATTATGTAACACACACACACGCATACGCATACGCATAGAATTTATAGCACAAAATCTAAATTCTATCTCTGTCATCTATATGATTAGATGCAATATATATCCAATATCGTAGTACTTGCTAGTAATTTATCTATTTTAGCTATTTTTCGTACTTACAATTATTTAATTTTCTGTATAACTGCAAGATCACTTTTTTGAGTATACGATATCTCTACATGGAAAGAACGATTTTGCTAAATTATTTAAAAAAATTTAACTGTGCAAGATTTAAAAATAATTTTGTTGAACATTCTATCAAAATAATTATGTAAGACGCTTAAGTTAATTATTAGAATATTATAATTTTTTGTAGCAACTTGCTCATCATGTTTGAGTTTTCTACGTAATTATTTTAATGATCCTACAAAATTATTTTCAGAACTGTCTCTAGCTAAATTTTTAAATCTTTCAGTAAAATCGTTTTTTCCGACAATAATGTCTCCTTATAATGTAATTTCCATTGCTCTTTGCGAAGAATAACGACAAAATGGCAATAGGAATTTCCCTTCGTTAAATATTTTCCTTCGTAAAAGATTTTAATGACTTTTAAGGGATCGTTTATAAAGTGTCATTAAAGTTCTTATCAAATTTGGTCTGAAAACATATTCCACGTTACTCATTAAATGAAACAATTTTTTTTGTTTTACTGAAATTTCTTATCGTTTTATCGTCAAGCGATTGGACAATTTTCGAATGAAACACTTGGCACCTATGTCCGACACGAAGTTCTATTTCGCGTATATATGTAGTTGGCAAAGGACGAAATAAATCGGCAGGCTGCAGTCATGGTCGATTTGATTTCGATCCTGAAACGGGCGAGAGCACATCCGAGACTCGCGTTAATTACCAGCAATTTCGGCATTTCGCTGCTCTTTAAACACCGCCTTGGGAATTAAGCGCGGTGCTATATTGTCGATAGAGAGAGAATGAGCAGCATACAAGCGAGAGAGAGAGAGAGAGAGAAAGGAGGGGGGGATAGAGACGCTCGTTTCTTGCAGCAGTTTACAATTTATAATCCTATTATAGGATTTGGGATACTCACCGGTGTACGTCACTCCAAGTCGACGAAGCGAAAGCCCCTCTCAAAAGGTATCCGAGCTCTTAAACACAAAAAGAAAAGGAACTTGAGTACGTAAGTAAAGCGACCGCTCGATCGTTAATTATGGCCACGTTAATAACGCGACTTGTAATTACGCTATTGCGGCTCAAGTAAAGATACTTATCGAAAACATATTATATTAAAGTATATACAAAAAAAATATTTTGTATTTGTGTTAAAATCGATCCTTATTAAGATTTCTGTGTTAAATTTTTAACATATACGAGTCAGTTTAACATAATGTAATTGCTTTATTTGAATATATTGCGTTATATTGATATTCTGTATTTGTTAAAATAACACAATTAATAAATAGGTGAACAATTAACATATATATAAAAGTAATGCTTTTTAAAACATAAATGTTAAAATAAATTAATAAAATGTGTAATTAACTTAATATATTATAAGTGTTGATTTTACTAAATAATTAATTGATAATATGTTATTATTAATCTAATAAATTTTAATTTTATATATTATACTACAAATGTTAATTTAATCTATTATATTATAAATGTTAAATTGACTGAAGAAATATGTTGCCACAATTTGCTTACAAATTGTGGGTGTTACATTTTTTTAGTTAATTTGTTCACATAATATTAGTGTTACGATATTTCCTAACCTATTCATCTTGTGTTAAATCTACAAAAATTTTAATGGACCGTTTGAGATACGTGAAATGTGTTTTTAACACAAGTTTTTTAACCGTGCATTTACGCTTTATATTCGTAAAACAACATAAGCGAAAGAGAGAGAGAGAGAGAGAGATTTGAAAAGATTTAAGTTAAATATACAAAAAATATTTTTTATCACAATAAGGACAATAGTAAGTGTAACATTAGTTACAGCAATGATATATCGAGAGTAATATCTATATAAGATTGAACATTTCCACAGAAAGTATGTCATTAATATTCTTACACACGCGAAAAAAGAGTGGCAGGGCGTTAATTGATTTTTTATTCGACAAAGCTGCCAGAAGCACTTCAATGTCCCGTAGACGGAAAACGAGCAGCTCGCGATGGAAATCCTCGTGAAAACAGTGTATCCAGTAACTGGCGGATCTGAAATCCTCTCAGCGGAAATCTTTCTTCGCTGGAATATTTAGCAGCCGAGCGAATCGCAACGGATGCAACGAAAATGCACGGGGAAAATCGCTCTTTCCGTCAGGCGGGAGTTTGAAAGTTCCTCGGAAAACACTTTAATTTCGCGTAAAATAGCGCCGCTGTTTTCTTAAAACTTGAGCGTGGGGGCTGCATTGATGTTCCCTCTCCCTCTCTTTCAATCAAAAGAAACTCTTCTTCTCAAATTATAAACAACAGGCGTGTATACAAACGTCTCATTTCATTGACAAAAAGTATCTCACTACAGTGTTCACGCAAACGATAACTCATGCTCAAACGTAATGCCGTTCATTTTAACGAAGTTGCGGACGAACCGAAACGCGAAAGTTCCGGCAAAATTAATTTTCTCACACGACCCTTGTAGTCCCAAAACGGAGATCGCAAGGACCCGGTGCAACTAAACGCGAGGCGCACGTGCAATTCATTTCGCTCATTCATTATAGATTTTAATACCATTCGCGTTGGAATCCCATCATAAATTAAATTCTGACAGACGAAACTCCGACGGTATAGTTGAATCTGCGGAATACGATGCGATCTGGCGGAAACACGAAGATCATAATTTTTGGAGATGAATCCTCCGATTTCCCAAGTATGATACGCGCTTTATAGTCAATGAGCTAATTTTAATTTTGCTAATTTTAATTTCTCTAATTTTAATTCCGCACAACAAACTGAATTTTAATGAATTTCACAGTAAGCGCGGAAGGCACATTTCACACAAACAAATATTTATATTATAATATTTTCTCTATTCAAATATTACAATTTGAAAGTATGCAAAATGACACGCAAAAATAGCATGTATTCTAACGCACGTGATATTTATAATATGTAATGCAATATGTACGTACAATTTGTGACACGCAGAGTATAACTATGGCATTTATTAAAATTGTATTAAACAACATAATGAGGACAATGTAATTGCTCCATATGATATTACGAACAAGTTTCAAACATGATTGCAAGAGATGAGAGCGCGAATTGCGGAATGGTAAATATTAGGAATTACGCCAATGCGGATTCACCACGAGTTCGGTGTGTGTTCATGTGACTGTGACGTTCACACACACTTCCGACATCCCCGGAACATATCCCAGGAGTGCACGCGAGGAGAAGCCATTAAGTGGCACCAACCAGTTTTCCCGTCGTTTCTTCGCGATACCACCGGCTGGCAATATATTTTCTCTCCCTTTTAATTACACGCATTACTTACGCTCGTTAATTAGCCTCTAGCCGAGGATCAGAAAGCCGGGAGGGTGAGTGCCAGACATCGGATGCAAGCATTTGCGTCAAGTGCTACGCGCTCCGTTTTCCCCTTCCCATCTTTGCGAGGAGAAATCTTTCCTTCCCTCGATTATAATGTCGATCTCACGGTCTTTCTACTAAATTAAAAGAACTTGTAATTTATTTCCAATTAGAGAAATAAAATAATCATTGCAATTGTACGTAAAAATAAAATTAAGTAACCGTAAGGAGAATTTATTGGTCTATCGATTAAGTAACTTATGCAACACGAAATTGGCTCAATTAATAGCTACTAGCAGCTCATTCATTTTCAATGAATTATATAAAGGGAGATTTATTAACTCTGAATAGTAGCAAAATTTAGAATGCTGGTTAATTATGTTCTAAAATTAATCATCGTGACGCTAGAAAACTCTGAAATTCCCATCGATATATATATACATATATATGCTTGAATAAATCTAAATATTTTTACGTATCATGGAAAAGGAGTTTTTGCTTTCAATTTAGAGAGTATCGCGAAGGACGATCGGACGGAGGCAAAAACTCAAGTTTATACACAAGTGTGTGTATGTATACATATATAGTATTACTTTTCCCCCAACTTTTCTCGTACTCGAAAAAGCTGACTTCTTCCCTGCTTTAAAACGTAAAGAAACCGCCGCTACCTCCGAAGAAATAGACGACAACGAGGAGGAAGAAGAATAAGATCGTCGGTAAATCGTCGGTGGAAAATCAGTCTTCGATGATTTTTATACGGCGACATTTCGCGATGTATTTCTATGATATGCCGAGCACTAAGTTGAAAAGGAATAAGAGGAAGGCGCGTTCTTCTCTCTATTTGCATCGAAGCTTGCTGCTGTCCTTTCGCGGTCTCAATTATCGATGCGCTATTGTCGGGTGCCTTTTCCAATTTGCCGAGTGGCACTCCAACATACAGTTGCTGAATATAGTAAACTTATACTTATAAGAATGGGATATAGTTATCGCATTTAAAGACGTTTGGAAATCGTCCGATTCATTGAACGTCAAGCGTTTCGATTTGCACACGATGATGCATTCGTGCAATATGACGTTTGACGAAACTATAAAATCAGGTAGAATCAGGTAAATGGAAGCACTTTCCGTGATACCATGTTTTGTTCCATTTCCGGCCTGCGATGCCACGTTACGGCAAAGAACTGACGAACTAATAACGGACATGTTATCCTCTTTTGAAATATCTTTCGTTGAAGTATCGTCTCCATATAGTTCATGATCTACGGCTCTCTCCTGACGTCGCGACTGCTCATATCGAAAGGATGCTTCATGAAGACACATATACCGAGCTGCCGGGAAATACAGAGTCACGGATCCGTGCTAATAATTTTACAAGTTGGTCGATAAATTTTTAGTAAGGAGGTACGAGACCGTACCATGAAAATCGTAAGCGTAGAAACGTGGGGATTTAACCGTATATCACAACGGTGCGCTAGGGGAAAAAACTTTACCACCCATTGCTAGGAAATATAGCACCCCACGGTATAGGATGGATCCTGTAGTGCGCACCGCCCGTCGCTGTCTTATACGTGAATATAACTACTGGTTATATAGTACAAGTGACTACGATAAAATATAAGCAGAGCTGGACTGTTATTTCGATATTTCGGACAGAACGATATATTGTAATATATCGGTTTCGTGCTTTATAGACTTTTTGCGAAAATGTCACATTTTTAGATCCAACCAAAATTTTTCTCTTTCTAGTCTATTATTTTGTCATAAAGTCAAACCAAGTAAAAAATACGAACAAACATGAATATGAGCAAATTTTTTTTAATAGACATGGACAGTATTGCGTATACGAATGTATATCGATGTGAATATATCAAAGGAAAAGAACTTGTTACGTTCGTTTGCATCATTAATCTTCATTCATGATCATTCGTTCTTACTTGATCTGGATTCATCTTAAAGTAAACTTAATATCAAGAAAGTTTTATTTTTTCTTTCTGATATCAAATAGATTCAAATGCATCAAATTATTTTTGATGGTCTGTCGCAAAAAAAATCCTTAATCTTATAAAAAACTTAACAAAAAAAGAACATAACCCTCGACTATAGCAACGAATCATTTGAATTCGAAGCGAAAATTTTAGATAATTGGTACAACTTCTAAATTGTAGGTAAAAAAAACTTTAAACCTCTTTCTATCAATCGCTGCAAGGCGGAGGTTCACTTGTATTTTGTATTTTAAACAGGACGCTTTAAAACTTAGGTGCAACTTTTTTTAATCCCGGCTGAGGCAATATTTTTCGCAATAAATTATTTTACTAAAAGTAGTTTTTTAAGATACTTATAATAGCATAAAATTATTAATATCTTTATATAATGCTTATTAAAAGGATATTAGCATCATAGGATTATATTAAATTCATCCTGAAATACTTAAACACTAAGATCCAGAAATATGATATGTTTCTCTTATATTAATTGATTTATTTAGATACACTCATTGGTCTAATACGAATTATAATTGTTTCTTTTTCTTTAGAACTTAACTGTAGTTGAGGGTTAACAAAGAACCGCTGCGAATGTCTCTTTGGGTTCTAGTTCGCTTTACTTCGCTTTTACTCATGTG